AATACTGTCTAGTCAACCTTGTAATGGGTCAATAGTGAACAATATTTTAACTTCCTGACACCATTTTTAAAACTTGGACCAGAGTGTCGAGCCATTTGGAGACACCTCTTGTCTCCTAACATCCCATGAACTGACACATTTTAATATTGCAGCAAGAATTTCTTGTTAGAGTTCAGAAGAAGTTGGTTTTCAAAGTTTTTGAGTCCAGTCTGGCTCTTTTGGGAGAGAGAATCTGTCTTTCAATAGTCTTTCAATAATCTTTCAATAGTCTTTCAATAGGACCATGGGTGGCTCATATCTTCTGGCTGACTCTGCGGTGGAATCCATTTTGGGTGTGTTACCGATGCTGTGGGTGCGCCCAGCTCAACGACGTATATACTAGAATGTACACCATGGCCCAGCTCTTCTTGAAGGCGGGTCTAACGTTACATTACCTGCCCACTTTGCAGTGATTCAGTGGACCAACTCCCCTCTCACCATTGGTTACTTTCAAACTAAAGAACAAATAAAAAAAACGCAACGTGTATGTAACATACAGGCCCCTCTTGTAAATGGGTCCTCATATCTCAATGAGGCTAGCCCATATAAATAAAGTTTGAATGAATAAATGAATGAAAATGTGTTTTATCGCAACACATTATAGAAATGTAGTGTAGTAGAAAGTGCAGATACTTAATGTAAAATGTAGTGGAGTAACAGTCGAAAGTACCCAAATTTAACTCTACTTAAGTAAAGTACAGATACATGGAAATTTTACTTAAGTACAGTAACAAAGTACTTGTACTTACTTACATCCCACCACTGCTTATCAAGCGAGCAATCCTGCCTCCCTGTTCCAGGCTGTTGTGCTAATCCCCTTTGCCTGTTCTTTGTCTCAGTGGAAAGTGAAGGAGATACCAGTAAGTGTTTCTCTTCACTAGATGAGGAAAACATGAAGAAATTATGAGTAAGAAAAAACATAACAAGGAACAGCTCTCAGCTGTCTGCAATGGTTCCCATTGTTTCTTGTAAAGACCTGTACAAAGATTTGCATGGTTTGGGAACGTCACATATTTACTGGGAAAACCCATCAGAGATACATTAAACCTTGTTTGGAATGAGAAAGATGTGCAGAGCCTGTCAGGAGAAAACATGTATCCATTTTCTTTGCTTCTCTGTACAGGAAAGGATCTGCTGTCGACCTGCTCCACAGAATAAATCTCTATGGTTGCTTGTGTGAAATCAACTGATTAGGCCAGAGAGACCAGAAGATCCTGACTGAATCCCTGATCCAGGTTTTGTCTCTGAAATGAGAAGTAACTGACACCATCACCTAAAGCTGTTCACTTCATTTCAACAACAATAAAGGATGTTGTACTTTGAAGCTCTTAATTATTGAAATTGTGTGAATTTGTTAAACAGAACTGTATTTCACCTTTAAAGATTTTAGAATGAAAATCATCCTGTCATCTAATCATTTAGAAAAAATTATGAATTTGGTTGTTTTACTTAAGTAGTTGTGCAGATTTGTGCGTGTGTGTGTGTGTGTACATGTGTTGTCTTCTAAACAAACAAACAAACAAACAAAAAATCATCTTAAACTATAAAAACTGAATATTGAGACAAAGTACTTTTATTAGATGTGCTTTTCCCGATTGATTGTTCTTGTTAAACAAGGAAAGGAATTTAGGAATTAAACTCGCTTTTAAATTGTTTTTGATTCGAGCGACACATTTCATTCTGTGGGTTTTGCTGGTGGGGGGCTGTCGCCTCCAAGATGGTTGCATGTCTGGGGGGTTTCCATGTGGTGTTTGCATGCTGTCCTCGTTAATGTGCGTTTCTTTTCTCTGGGTTCTTCTCACAGTGCAAGAACATACACAATAGTGTAATTTAAGACTCTTAATTGCCATTAGGTGTGAGTTTGTGTGCACTGTAGTTTGTCTTCATGTGACCCTGTAGTAGGTGACCTGTCCAGGGCTCACCTCTCGCCTAATAACTACTGGAGACAGGCACCAGCTTCCCACAAACCTAAACAGAAACAAGCAGGTATATAAAACTGATAGATGGAGTCTCAGTCATCCAGAACATGCTGTAAGTTGGAAAACCTTCTGTTTTACAGCTTCTTTTTGATTCTTAGACATTTTGCTTTTTATTATATAAACATTTTTCAAATCATCTTTTGAGCTGAGAACGCTCCTTAAATCAAACATCTTCAAAAATAATAATGAAAACAAGTCCAGTTTTCTTCTGTTCACCTTGGAGGATCTCACAGTTTTTTTTTTTTTACAGTGAGAGTAAACTACATACACAACAATACTACCCATGTTGATATTCAATTCAATTCAAAAATACTTTATTAATCCCAAAGGGAAATTATTTGTTGTTGTAACTCGTTATCCTCATTTCATTAAGAGATGTTATAGATACTGATGGCTGTAGACAGGAAGGATCTCTTGTAAAGGTCCATCCCACAGTGGATCCTAAGAAATTGGCTGCAGATGCCATCTGATCCATCCACCCAGACTCGGCTGGCCTCTCGGTTCCCCCCGGGCTGTAGAATCGCCCGAATGCCGAGCAGAACTCCTCCCAGAGCGATGGCCACTCCTCCCAGCAGTCTGCCGAGCTCCTCGTCGTTGCGGACAGCCAACTGTAGGTGCCGAGGGACGATCCTGTCCTTCCACTGTCATGAGCCGTGTTTCCTGCTAGTTCCAAGATCTCAGTGGTCAGACACTCGAGCACAGAAGGCAGGTAGATGAGAATGCGTCCACAGAACATCCTTTCAACTCATTTGAGATTTGGGGCTGTAGTGGAGATATTATTTGATCTTTTGAGATGTTAATCAGCTGTTGTTGGTTGTAGAAAACTGCCTTGTTGCCATGGATACGCATCATAACAAATGTCCCAAACTAAAAATGTTTCAGTAAAAATCCTTCCTGCTGCACAGCATCCGATACCAGAGGAAACAATCATCCAAAAAATGTGATTTACATCCAGAAAAACAGGAATTAAAGTTTCCAAAAGCAAAATCTCAGAATGAAAGTAACAGAGCTGCTCCAACATGCAGCCACCTTGAGCGGTGCAATTCTAGAAATTAATTCTAGAAATATACTAAAGACACAGATCACTGATAATAGTTTTAGATATCACTGAAAAGAAATACAGTTTTCTGCAACATGCACACATAAATTGAAGTTCTCAGCATTATTTTTTACATGAAAGAGAAAGTCAAAATATTTACCCTTTGAGGACATTTAATATTTTAGAAAATTGTTACACTTTTAACAGAATAAACCTATAGGAAGGATAAAAGTGAATACAGTTTTAACCTAATTTCTGCATTTTCCCTATTTCCCCTTATGCTGGTGCTTCCTGGTATTTCACTTATTTGAAAACCAGCCCCCTCTCCTGGCTCCCACAGCGAACACATAAACTCTGAAATCAGCTTCTTATTTTGATCATTTTTTACCACTTGAGTTGATTTTATGATCATTAGATATACAGTTCAATGAATATAAATGGCAAATCAGTTTTGTCCACAAATATTTGAGCATTAAATGTCCTGTCTGCAGCAAGGAACACGTTCTCATTATAGGGACTTTAGAAGATTTTACATCCAAAGCTGAGAAAAGTTAAAAAACCTTATTGTTTAAGTGAAAATCCAACTTTTATAGAAGGTTTCTTACTATATGATAATAAACTACAAATACCTTAATCATCAAATATCTATACCCGAATCCATTTGACAGAGAATAGTCAAAAAGCCTCACAACATATCCTCTGAGCAGATTTTTGTAAGGTAAAGATTTTTAAATGATCTATCTCTGAACTGGAAACACATAATTTTCACTGGTGTTTTCCAATATATGACCCTAAAAATATTTGTCAGTGAAATGAAAACAACACGCTAAAGTTAAACTTTTATTTTATCAAATACAATATGTATTTACAAAAAATACAAAGACATTCACCTTTTCAAAGCTTAGTGTACAACACTATTGCTTTTTCATGAATAATATACATTTAAATGCCATTACTTGAATTTATTTGATTACATCAAACTGTCCTGCAGCTATTTACACAATGTGCAGGGAAAACAATGTGCAGTTTAATAAATGAAAATTATATAATAGAATGAATGTAATGGACTGCTTTGCAGAAACTATAGACTATACCAGGGCTATTCAACTGGAGGCCTGTGGGCCATTTCCGGCCCGCGGGTGACTCCAATCAGGCCCACTTAATATAAAAAAAACAAAAACAAAAAACACTTATTTTTGGTTCTGGGTTTAGAGTTTGGATTCTGTTATTGCATTTATGATTCAATGCAATAAAATAAACAAATTTAAAGGTAACAGATCATTGTAAACTTTGGTTTATGATTTTAATAGCTGGATGTTCAGCCCCCCAGATGTTGGCTTTCAGAAACTGTGGCCCCTTGAGCAGTTTTGTCGAATAGCCCTGGACTATATGGACTCACTACTGGGTTTTGTGTATCGTGCTTGTTTTCTTTTTGTCATGATAAATGAGAAAAGAGAAGTTAGGAAATGAACTTACTGGAACCTTGTTGCTTTGGGCAGCACATTTCATAATGTGTGTACCGTATTTTTTGGACTATAAGGCGCAATGGATTATAAGGCTCACTGTTGAGTTTTGAAAAAATTTTAAGGACTTTAAGTGCGCCTTATAGTCCAAAAAATACGGTATTCTATATGCAGAATTAACATGCATTCACTACATTTTACAGCTTATTTTCTTTGGTGTGCAGGAAGCCCAAACTAATCTGCTGTGTATTATAGTTTAAGCTAAAATAGCTGCAACTCAAATTCATGTTTTCTTCTTTATCAAACTAAAGAAAAGAAAACAGTAATAGATATAAGATATAAAGTAATTTACACAAAACTAAACTGCATAGTGAAACACTACAAATGCTGAACAGACAGAATAAACAAAGATTAAATCGTATATTTTCATAATCAAAGACATTTACATTGTTGATATTGCAGTCTGTGTCAGTGAACACCTTACACCTCAGCGTCAGAGAAGGACTTGTCTTTGCTCCGGATGGTGATCATTGAGTTTGTGTAGGTGTAGGAGCGAGACACCTCCTCCTGGAAGGCAGTCTCCAACACCTTCAGGATGGATTTGCGGACTTTATCCTTAAAATCTTGGCCCATAAACACATACAGCAGTGGGTTCATGCAGCTGTTCAGGAAGGCCAGACTTGTTGTGATTGGGACTCCAATCATAACAATGTGATCAAATGTTTCATTGGCATAATTTGTCATGTGATGCACCAGCTCAATCAAACCCATGATGTGAAAGGGAGCCCAGCAAAGGAAAAAGGTGACGATGATGGCAGCGATGATCTTAAAAGGACGACTTGACTGGCTAGCCAAGGTGCGGTTTCTGCTTAGTCGATGGATTATGACGGCATAACAGGAGACGATGACAGAGAAGGGGATGACAAACCCAAGGACTGATCGAGTGATGGTCATGGCCTGATGGCGACACAGTCGTAAATGTATCACAGACTGGGTTACATAATCATCAGAGAAAGCAAAGTTGTTAAAGCAGATGATGTCTTCATTGTGTTCTGATAAACCAGTGTCCCTGAAGACAAAGTACGGTGCGCTGAGTATTAAAGCCAGAGCCCAAACACACAGACTCACACAAGAGGCCCTTCGAACATTTCTGTGGTTCTGGGCCCAAACAGGCCAAACCACAGACACACATCTGTCCACACTGATCACCACCAGGATGTAGACACTGGCAAACATGTTCAGAAAGCTTATGGTGGTGTTCAGCTTGCACATGAATTTCCCAAACGGCCAGTTGAAATCCATAGCTGTGTATGTGACACTCAGCGGCAGGAATGCTGTGAAGAGGAAGTCAGCCACAGCAAGGTTGAGGAACCAAACTGTGTTCACAGTTTTCTTCATCTTGAAGCCGGTCACCCAGATAACCACTCCATTCCCGAGCACACCGAGGACAAAGGCCAGGGAGTAAACAATCAGAGACATGATGTTGAGTGACTGTCTCAACTCCTTGTGATCATTTTTGGAGAAATTATCATCTCTGTAGTCGTACTCTTCATACCAAGAACTGTTAATCCCGTTTTCATCAGTTGAGTTGGCGTGATAGAAAGGAGAAGTGGTCATTTGCGCCATCATTGTCAAAGAACCTGGAAGAAGGAACAAAACGTATGATTCCTCCCAGAAGTTAAAACATTACACATATTGTACTTAAACCAAAACATGCAGTCTACTTTTGGGAATTACACTCAAACAAATAAAGTTTAGCACTTGGACAGTGGTGTTATAAAACCATGTGTCTGTAGATATAATTGTATTGAAGAAGACAACAGAATTGGCAGTAAAGTCACTCTGCTGGTTCCATGTCAGCAGGTTATGAAAAACCCTCTTAGGTCTGGATACAAATAACAATTCAGAGTGAAATGACATCATGCAGTTGTTGTATTCTTTAAAGTTGGTCCAGTTGGTCAAGCGAGATGACCGAGCGCTGTTGCAACTCCTCTGGCAGACTGACACTGAGCTAGAGTTAATGTTCTAGCGGACCCAGCACATCTTCAACTGGGAAAGGATTATAGGACTTGACTGACTCTAATGCCCCTTTTCCACCACTCCTACTCAGCCCCAACTCTGCTCAGCTCGCTATGGTTTCCACTAGTACTTTTTAGCTGATTCGGCCCCTTTATTTTGTCTCTGCTTCTCTGGTGGGACTGTTCAAGCTGAGTCGGCACCTGAACGTGACATCAGAACACTGCAGGTCACTGAGTGGTCAGGGGGAGGAGTCACTGGATCTCAGAAACTTTTCACCGATCCGCCATTTGCAATTACTCGGAAATCGGAGCAGCGGTTGGATCTATTTTTAAGATTTAAAAACAATAATGACAACACCGTGTTTAACTCTGAAGTCCAGGCGTTTTTTTGTGTTTGGTGACGACGACAAAATTCAAGAGAGCGGAGTCACGGCAGAGGATCATACGAGCTGCCGACTCGTTGAAGCACGTGAGGCGGGATCCCGAGCCCCGGCCTCACGTGTTCACAAAGCCTGGGTTCCGAGCCCCGGTAGACGGGTGTACCGGGAGGGAGGGTGGAAACATTTTTTAAAAACATTTTATGAATAAAAAATAATGTTTTTTTTTTTAAATCAGTGAAGAATAAAAATAAATAAATGGTGCCGGCTTTATCATGAAATCCTGTTTTCACTTTAATGACTTTATTAAATAATCTGTTAATTAAAGTTAACTCAGCTGAAAAATCATAAAAAGACAAAATTATTGGATCTCTTAGGAATATTTCCCTCAAACATGTTTAAAGAAGAGCCTTTGGTTCAACTTTATTCTAACCCATAGATGTAAAAATCACAAAACAAGAATTACACTTTAAATCACTAAAATAAAATAATCTGTATACAAAAAACAAAACCACATATCTAAGTTGAACAATAAAAGTAGACACAATGTGTGCAAATACATCAAATGATGAAGACAAATATAGAATTTTAAATGCTTTTGTAGAATCTGGTTCATCAGATTTAATTCAATTCAGTTTATTTATTTAGCGCCAAGTCACAACAGAAGTCGACTCAGGGCACTGAACAGAAACATTCATATATAAAAATTATAATTTAACATTATTTATCTGAGGAGCAGACTGCTTTGAGTTTAACTCATTGCAGAACTTTCCCTCGGTGAACTAAAGTTCATTAAAAGTTCATTAGTAGGAGTTTGGATTCTGAACACGTCTCCAGAACCGGTCCTGAAGTGCGGTGGAAATGCAACGTGTAAAGAGCTGATCTGAGCCGAGTAGGCCTGAGTAGGAGCGGTGGAAAAGGGACATTAGAGGACCTAAACATGAACAGGAAATCTATGGACCTTTGCGCTGTGTGTGTGTGTATGAGCATCATATTGTTGTAAGACTGGTGCTGTCTCAGGAGGGTTAAGACGTGTGGACACAAGAAGTTTCCTTTGGTGTAGCTCTGTGTAATTAAGGTCCACCGAATCACCACCAGAGGTGTCCTGAAATCATACCCTATGGCTCCGTATGTCACAAAGCCTGGACTAACACCAACATCTCTGTCCACAATACTAGCAGGATTGGTCCTGCTATGGTCAATTCACCATATGATGTCCATCTATTGAAATACAGAAAAACATGACGCCACTCGTCATCAGTCCATATGAAACCAATTTAACTGAGTGTAAACACAAAATGATGAACGTGTTGTTCAACTGATGTCTGTCATCAAAACAGTGCAGGATGACACAGTGTTGTACAGAGCCCAAAAGCAGTGTGTGGATAGTAGGAGCTTATATGTTATGGGATTCTGTAAAGCTTTGCACACATCACCATGATCCTCTCTTGGTCTGATTTATACCAGAACCTTCAGTGTGTGTATGTGTGTGTGTGTGACACCTGCACACCCCACACATGCTGGGCAGTTACCTGCATCATGCAAACACCCATTGTAAGCTATGACGCTCCATCAAGTTGTAGTAATGCTGCCTAATGTATCAAAGAGGAATCTTACGTGTCGCCAGAGATTTTCTCACTGTTTTGATTGACTGTCAAATTCGCTGGCAACTGCCTGATAACACAATTGTTTCTCTGGTGAGAGAACTTCTTATCTGGCTCCTGTTTTAAATATGCCCGCTTCATCCAAATAAAATTATTTACAGCCATCACCGACCAAATTACATCCAAACTGGGCCATTCCTTCTGGGTGCTTCTGGTAACAAGTGTATTAATAAATAAATAAATAATTTTATTATTATTATTATTATTATTATTATTATTATTACTGTTATTATTATTATTATTATTTTGTCAGTTATATATCGTAAAATAAAGCATCAATATCATTAAGTTACTTCATCACTGAAAATTGATCTTAACATCAACCAAACCAGATGTAAATTTCCTTTCTTCGTATACCCCCCCCCCCCCCCCCCCCAAAAAAAAAAAAAGTCTGTAAATTGTCTACAGCAGCACAATAAATACCAAGACTGTAAGTTTCCAGCAACTACCCTCCGCAAATCTTAATCACGCGCATGCCAACCGCGCACCAATCCCCCAGCTCAGTGAGACATCAAAGTGCATGGTAAAAAACGAGATTTGCTGATAAAAGCTTTTTGGTTTTCAGTGTAACCACATTAAAACTGCACTTCTTCACAAATAAAAGCTGTTCCCACGCTGCGTGGACGCGCAGACCTAATTAAGACTTTGAATCCAAAAAACCTGCGCGCATTTACTTTGAAAAGCTGCAAACCAGTTCAACTCCGAGCGCACGTTCAGATGTTCCAGCTGTTTTCTCACATCAACAATCCAAAGCGCTCTGACAGATCAAATCCACGTCCTTCTGTCTCTTTACTCCCAAAGAAACTCGTCTAACTTGAAGCCTTTAAAGTTTCAAAGACACTTTACCTTTCCTCTCCTCGGCTCTGTCAGATGTTTCCCCTCCAGCTCAGACTGGAGTCTGAGGAGACTGTGGAGCTTCTGACTCCCTGATGGGCAGACGTCACATCTGGGCGGGACCTCCATCTGATCCGTGGCACATCCTTGCTCCCGTTTTGCAGATTTAACTAAGCTTTTATTTTTTTTATTTTTTTTTTAAGAAGCTAATATCACCGAGTTGCTTCGTGAAAGCTTTCATTCTTTTCATGTGGTCTGATTAAACGCACAGCCAAGACGCGTTTTCCTCAGATGGCTGCAGGGCCATCAGTTTTTTAAATGTAAAAACAAACAAAGAAAGAGTAAAAGGGACTAAACGCATAAATTGAGGGTTTTTGTGACGATACGCTGAGACAGAGTGATATCTCACACATCCTCCTGCCGTGCGTCATGTTTTTCTCTCCGTGGGTTGAGCTCATGTTTGTTTGAGGTTGAAAGTAATTGCTGTACGTGTTGACTCCACACCTGAGCACGTGCACTTTTAAAATCCCCTCTTTTCACCCTGCACGTCATCCAAGCAGTCTCAGCATCACCTGACTGGTGTTTTACACTGGAAACAAGTTTTAATCAAAGCAGACTTGGAGCAAGATTTTTTTCCCAGCATGCTTTTGTAACTAGTACTCTGTTTGAAAACGTTTTCTGTCAAAACAAAGCAAACTGTGAAGACATAATGCACTTTTAATTTGCGGAAGTTTATTTTTAAAACTTTAATTTAGAGTATTATTTATGATAATGCATTATCTTGCACACTTAAAACATTAGTTCAGATCTTCTGTGGAAAGGTTATGAACAGTTACTATCTTACCTGTTGTAGATAGATATTTGTGCAACTTCAATTTGGAGAAAAAGTTTAATTCTGATTCATGAGCTGATGTCTAGTCTGTGCAGGGCTAAGATCAAAACTTACTTACTGATTGATTGTCTTAAAAAACTTCAATATCAAATATTTCATAGCTGTTCTTGCTAACTTTTTTATAACCTTCAATGACAAGTTTATATTACAAAGTTATTCTAACAAAAATGTGACATTGCTGCTAGAAGTGTGCCAGGCAGCAAATGAAGTACCACAACTTGCTTCAATTAGCATTTGATTTTACTTGGTGTGAATAACCATGTAATGCAAAACAGAGGACAATAAATTTTATATATATATATGTGGTGGTGGCCATCTTGGATTTTGAAGCAGCAACCCAATTTTTTATAGTAACACCCTGATGCATGCAAAACAATTCAATAATCTCAGAAATTTTAATAGTAACTTTTCTTACACCAAGATGCTGCCACACACCAAAAATAGAAGTTGGTATCTCTTATTTTTCAAGTTACCATGCTCATAACACTGACTGGCTTTGCTTTGTGACGGGGGACAGTAATGACCATGGAGCAAACAGTCAGCTCTGACGTTGAGAACTGAGAGTTTAAGTTCTGCGAGGGATAATGACCCAGTGGGTGCAGCTGCTGATTGCAAAATGACAGTTGAGGAATAAGGGACTGAACTCAACAAAAAGGAAACTAACTAAAAACATACCAAACACAATAAATCTCTAAATAAAACAAGGGAAAACATACATGGATAATTAACTAAACACAAAAACAAATAATTCAAGCTAACCAACATAAAACCTCAGGGTCATTACTAAGAACATTAATGATTTTTTTTTTTTTTTTTTTTTTACAGAATATGCCTAGTCAGTGCTGAAAGCTATGACATTAAAGCCATTTAACATTTTATTTTATTCATTTATTCATTCATTTAAAAGAAACAAAACAATTTAATCAAAAAGAAAACATTGAATGAAAAGAGTGCAGAAAGAAGAAAAATCTTATATCTGCCCCTTACTTCAAAAAATATAAAATAACTTTAAACAAACAATCACTTAAATTAATCACTTTAATATCCACTTTAAAGCTAGGAATAAAAAAAAAAGAAACATGTTTTGTGTTAGCAGAATTTAATTAAAACTTTAAAAGTTATCCAACAGTAATAAAACTTACCTGAAGTTGCCTTTTTGGACATGCATGCATATATTTGTACAAATTGTACTTGAGAGGAGATTATTACAGCCTCATATAAAATCAATGATGATGATGATATTGGAACTGGATCGGTATTGGCCGATATTTAGATTTAGGTATCGGGATCGGATCTGAAGTAAAATAAAAAAAAAGAAAAGTGGATCGGTGCATCCCTAGTCATTACAGGTCAGTTGAGTGAACATCCGAACAGAAATAATCAGTTTGAGGAGTTTCAGTCAGAGTTTATAGCTCATCGTGGCACAGAAACAGCACTGGTGAAGGTCACTAATAATATTCTCATGGCCTCAGACAATGGATAGGTGTCTACACTGGTCCTGTTGGACCTCAGTGCTACAGTTGATCACATTATTCTACTACAGAGACTTGAATATGACATTGGGATTATATGACTGGCTCAAAACTGGTTTAAATCATACTTATTTTATAGATTCCAGTTTGTAAATGTAAATAATAAATATTCTTCATACACAAAAGTTAGTCATGGAGTTCCTCAGGATTCAGTGATTGGACCCATATTCTTTACCTTATATATGTCTCCATTAGGTAAAGTTATTAAACAGCATGGGATACATTTTCATTGTTATGCTGATGATACACAGTTATATTTGTCTATGAAACTCAATGAATGCAATCAGTTACTTAGACTACAAGCATGTTTTAAAGACATAAAAACCTGGATGACCCTTAATTTTCTGCTTTTAAACTCAGACAAGACAGAGGTTGTGGTTTTTGGACCTGAGCACCTTAGGAATTAATTTTCAATCTTTCACTTTCTCTGGATGGCAGTAATTTGGCCTCCAGTTCTAAAGTTGAAAACTTTGGTGTTATCTTTGATCAGGATATGTATTAAAATTGTTACCAGAGCCACTTTATTCCAACTGCGTTATATCACTAAGATAAGAAACATCTTTTCCAAAAATGATGCGGAAAAACTGGTCCATGCATTTATCATGTCTAGGTTGGACTATTGCAGTTGCAATCTGGGTGTCCAAAAACTTCTTTAAAAAAGTCTTCATCTGATCCAAAATGCTGCCACCAGAGTTTTAATGAAAGTTAGTAAGATAGATCATATCTCTCCAGTTTTAGCTTCTCTCCATTGGCTCCATAAAAATCCAGAATTTAATTCAAAATCTTACTTATAACATACAAAGCTCTCAACAACCTAGCTCCATCTTATATTACAGATCTTATTGCTCCATAACAGAGCACTTCGTTCTCAGACTGCAGGTTTACTTGTGGTTCTTAGAGTTTCCAAAAGCAGAATGAGAGGCAGAGCTTTCAGTTTTCAGACTCCTCTCTTGTGGAACCAACTTCCAGTTTCTGTCCATGAGGCTGACACATTGTCTACTTTTAAGATTAGGCTTAAGTCTTTCCTTTTTGATAAATCCTATAGTTAGGGTTTGCTTAGGTTTCCCGAGCTATCCCAGTTATGTTACTATAGGCTTAGACTGCTGGAGGAAAAACTGACCACATTTCTTCACTCTGCTGCTGTCTTCACTTGCTCTACTCTACCTGTTTTGTATTTGTAATTGTTTTCTATCCTTGATGTGTGTAGTGAGTCACGTGAGGTACGTGTCACTTGTTGTATGACAAATATATGGATATATATTTATGCATACTTTTCACGAGTTCTTCATCTTTCTGACTGTGTAATGCCGTGCATTGAATTTAAAGGAATGCGAACAAGAGACGTTATTACCTTTGACCCATCAAATGAATGGAATCATTTATTTTCAGAATCAAAGTTTAACATCAAACATTTACATTAATTTGGCAAAATATGAAAATAATAACAGACAGTTTCACAAATAATGAACTTCAAATCACTCGGCGGTGATTTGAGGACTTTGCTTCAGATATTTCTAAAAATATCTGCACTGATTTATGAGAGAGAGGTGAGTTTAAGAGTAAATTGAGATTTATCTTACAGAGGAAATATGTGAGGGAAATTTAATCTGTTTAACCAGAAATTGCACGCTCCGTCCGATCTCAGCTTCTCGCGGTACACTTGGTCAAAATAGAACCATCTACCTGTTGATGATGAATCAGCGTCGGAGTAGTTCCTTTCTGACTCGTTTCAGCGTCTCCGTCGAGAACTACCAAACCTTCAGAGAGTCGTGCGTAGTTAGCTCAAAACAGAATTATAATCCCAAAAACCTCTGGATTCTTCATTGCTCTCTTGGACTCTTCATTGCTCTGAAACTTTCAGAACCGGCTGCACTCTCAATCTAACATGAACTGGGAAGTTGCCAGATTTTATTTGGGTCGACTTCCTGTTCAATTTAGAGCTTTCTGATTCGTGGAAGGACCAGAAAGAGGAGTGGTTTTGACGTAAGGTGTTTATCAACAGTCGAGGTCAGAGAATGAAATTTGTTTTCACATACAGAAAAGATTATTGCAGCAACAGCAGACTTCGTGGAGTCAACTCTTGGTAATCTTCTGAAAAGTTTAAACATGACATTTTTCTCGGTAAACATTTTAGTTGACCGAAAACCAACCTTTCACATACTTACGACTTGACTCATTTCAGACAGAAAATCAAGGAATGCTTATTCAGGTGATTTCTTCTTGGAATGAGGAATAAAAATCATTACTTACTGTTTATGTAAAATAAAGATGAGTAGTTCTTTTCAACCTATAAGCATTGAGTGAACTAACACAATTTGATTATCAAAACATTTGTAAGACAGTAATGATTATAAAGAATTGTCTTTTCTGCTTGATTAATTCAAGAAAGAAAGTCATCAGATGGCCCAGACTTATTCAGATCAATGAAAATAACAGTCTCTGTCCATCTGGTAGATTTGAGGTCATCTGGTTCACTACAATGTGTTTTTGTCTTTCATCCAATAGCTGGTACACCTGCGCTTACATCTGGACCTGCCATTCTGTGTTCGTTTGTCTCTCCTTCCTGTTCCTCTCAAACCCAGCCAGTCGAAGCAGATGGCCGCTTGTCCTGAGCCTGGTTCTGCTGGAGGTTTCT